TCTATCTATCTATCTATCTATCTATCTATCTATCTATCTATCTATCTATCTATCTATCTATCTATCTATCTATCTATCTATCTATCTATCTTTAATAGGCCATCTTATGGGTCAGGAAGGACATGTTGGACATGGTCCCGTGGCTCTGGACCCCACAAAGTCCTGAAATAAAACCCCAACTGTGACATGGGCTAGGTTTTTAACTCTGTGTTGAAATATGTTGCGCTTACAGGTGGTCTGGAGCTTGCCAGTTTTTGTAGGGTTTTGTGAAATAATAATCCATAAATAGATTCAGATATAGTTTTATTGARCAGTTCCTTCAGCTGTGAATGTTACCTGTGGGTCCTGTGTGATGTCATACAACAGAAATGTGGCTTCAGTCAGAATTAGGTTCATTATCARATCTTTTCTCATTAGGTCAAACTTGAAGAATGTAAATGCAAAGAAAACTGCCCTTGCTGACACATCAGAGGCTCTGCCATCCAGCTCTCACGTCAACAATAAATCAACTTTTTTCACATTATTTTACAGTCACGTTGTTCCATGTGAAACTAGTGGTCGTTTCATTCAGTGTGCTGTTTATGCTAAACAAAGTTGACCACTGTTGATAACAGAAACATGAGGCTAAAATCAAAACTGTCCACAGAAGGCTGAACTGTTCCTCCAAAACCTTTCTTTTTTTTGTCCATGAAGTTTTGTTTGACATGTTGTGTTTTGTCAGTCTTTTCTTGTTTCTTTGGTTTCCTGACATGTTTTTCCCTTTTTCCTCTCCCTTTTGCTTCTGGGTTGCTCTCTCCACAGTCACTGCATACAGCAGATTCTAGAAAGTGTAAATCATTGTCACATAAATGGCATAGTGCACAGGGACCTAAAGGTTAGTAAGCGGTGATGGTAATGGTAAAATAAACAGACCTGCCCAGCTATGGCCCCTTTCCCACCCTCTTCCCCTCCTGAAAAGTCAAACTGATGAGTGTCTCCTCCTCCAAAGACCCTCCTGCTCCAGGGTCATGAGGAGAGGTGGCAGGTCACGTAGCAAAGATGGGGCAGGTAGATGTTGTCGTTGCTTGCCTCTCCTGTATACCAGAGCACAAAGTGCATGTAGCAAAATGTTGGAAGCCATGCTCCGACACAGCTGACAGGTGGTGGCAGAGGAGAMGATGAGAGACGAGACAAAGGAAGGGTGTCCAGTGGTGTAAAAATCATTGATTTTCGAATTGGTCTTGTACAACAGATTTAATTTAAAACTTCAAAGGATGGATTGGCTGATTGGTCCTTGATGGAACCAAGAAAGAACTGAATCACTCCATTCTTGAGCTCCTGTCCTGTTGCATCCCTCTGCCACAGTCCTGCCTCCAGTCGGTCAGAATCTAACGCCACTGTTGTTTTGACACATGGACAGAATTAGACAACGACTCTAGAACACGTAGAAACGAACTGTTCGATAGAAGACTCTGTTGCCAAGTGAGACTAAATTCTTTCCTCTGGGTGAGCCAAGCTGTCCAAGTCTCAAAGCAAGTGCACAGATAGTGGTAGCTTGTCACTAACCCAACGCCCCCTGGTGTTTGCATGCAGTCATTGCATTCAGCAGATCCTAGAGGCTGTGCTCCACTGTCACCAGATGGGTGTGGTTCATCGGGATCTGAAGGTAAGTGTCCCCACAGAAACACTGCTCTTCTGTGCTTTCCTTCACTTTCTTTTTCATCTTGAAACCTCCGGTCCTGTTAAACACGTATTTAATTCTTCTGCCACCTTGAAGAGAAGAATAAGACTTTGCTTCTATAAATAAAGAGGATTTATTTTTTTAAATGATTTGCTATTTAAGCTTATTTAAATCCATTTCCCTTTAATGCTGCTGTTTCCTACAGGGTTTAGTTTCTAAAGCTTCAATTTGCCATTCAAACCAACTTGGGTGTGTCTAAGGTTTAGTTTATTTTAGCAATAATAAGCTTACATTTTGCAGTCAGTGACTGCTGCCTTTCTGGGCTCTGATTGGCTGTTGTCAGGTAGTTTCCATGGCTCTGATTAAACTGAAAGACAAACAAATACAGGAAAAACAAATAAGTTCTGGAGCAGAGGCGCTGTGTTTGTACTGACACAGTAGTTCACATTCTTTCATTATATTCTCTGTTTAGGTGCTTTCTGTGCTGCTGAGTTATTAATGCACATAGTTAGACCCTGATTCCTACATGCTGACATTAACCCTAGCATCACTGAGCACTGATGTACAGGACTTTCTTGAATATTTAGTTTTCGTTTTTTCTTGTTTATTTAAAAACCTGAASATTCTGAAATTAAAAATGTTGACTGCTACCAGTCGATTATATGGAATCTACTTATTCAGTAATTGCAACGAATTATTAATTACCTAATTATTTTTGCAGCAACTTTTTCATTCATAAAGCTTTTCTACAAACTTAACTTGGTTTTTCCAGCTCATGGTTTATGTAGCAGTGACCTCTATTATGTGCAGACTCTCCATCTCATGGCACCAAAGATGAGATCTGTGCACATTCTGACTTAAACCATAGCCATGCTGAATCAGTCTGAATTAAGAAGCCTGGGTAGTTGTTACCTTTCAGATTCACTCTATACAACAAAGTACTGTATTTATTCAAGTATAATAAATAAACTTAAATCCATAAAATCATCCATAAAGTTGGGGGTAGTACTATACTCGGATAAATATTTTTACTTATGTATTTTAACTGAAATATCGGCTTCATTCACAAAATGCGTGAGTCCGGAAACAAGACCACGATGTAAAAAGCAGTTAAAGTAAGCTTACCTGTGACACTTCCTCCGCTCTTCAGAGCGAGATAATAACAGATCCAGGCAGGCGACATGTGGAAAAAAAAGAAGAAAAAAGTCAGTCCTGCACCTCA